GTAATGCCTAAGAGGGCTACTGTATTGCCTAAGAGGGCTTCTGAGTTGCCTAAGAGGGCTTCTGTATTGCCTAAGAGGGCTACTATATTGCCTGAGAGAGCTTCTGTTTTGCCTAAGAGGGCTTCTGTGTTGCCTAAGAGGGCTACTGTATTGCCTAAGAGGGCTTCTGTATTGCCTAAGAGGGCTACTGTATTGCCTAAGAGGGCTTCTGTATTGCCTAAGAGGGCTTCTGTGTTGCCTAAGAGGGCTACTGTATTACCTAAAAGGGCTTCTGTATTGCCTAAGAGGGCTACTGTATTGCCTAAGAGGGCTTCTGTATTGCCTAAGAGGGCTACTATATTGCCTGAGAGAGCTTCTGTTTTGCCTAAGAAGGCTACTGTATTGCCTAAGAGGGCTTCTGTGTTGCCTAAGAGGGCTACTGTATTGCCTAAGAGGGCTTCTGTATTGCCTAAGAGGGCTACTGTATTGCCTAAGAGGGCTTCTGTATTGCCTAAGAGGGCTTCTGTGTTGCCTAAGAGGGCTACTGTATTACCTAAAAGGGCTTCTGTATTGCCTAAGAGGGCTACTGTATTGCCTAAGAGGGCTACTGTATTGCCTAAGAGGGCATCTGTATAACTTTGGTGGTGAATTGTACATTGAAGGTCGAGCTTTGTTTAACTCTGTTTTCTAGATTCTGGTCTACTTGCGTACATATCTTTGTAATGTTTACAATTTCTTCATTGGACATATTGTGTGGGTCAGTCTCTGTTCTGAGTGGATAGCCGAGTAATAGCACTGTAGGAGAGTGTTGAGATATTCGGTGTTTCGTGTCAGCACTTGATGTGGAAAGAACATCGAGTATAGTCTTGTTCATTCGTTCTGCTAGGCCATTGCCCCGATGCAGTTCAAAAGCTGTTGTGAACAGCTTAATGCCTTTTATAACACAATACTCTTTGAATTGGAATCTTAAAAATTTCGAGCAAAGATAATTTAATCAAAGTGCAATTGCTGCCAAAATCTAAAAATAATAAATCTAAAATATTTGTATCAGTTAAGAAAAATATCTTTAAAAAAAATATGGAATTTAAATTTTAAATAACTTTAACGCTTTTAGGTTTGAAACTTTGTTTCACTTTTTTTTTTTTGATCGTCTTGTGAATTTTGATACTTCACACTAATGGCTTTTTTTAACAAAACTTGCTATAATGCTCTTTAATTTGACAGAAATTACAAACCTGGTTTCTGTGTCTACAAACTACGGTCATGTCATGGCCAATTTTACCAACTTTTGCATTGTTTATTATATTTTCTACTTAGAGAGCGGTACAATTAACTTATTTTTTTTTTAATATTTTGAGACAGATCTATTTTATTGAGTGTAATCATATAACTTTCAGTTTTAAGATATGCGCCTAAAACTTTGATATCAATTTGCGGTTCCTTTCAATTTATTTAGTGCTTGAATATATGTTTGCAGTATCAGAACAGTGATATACTGGATTATTTTAATCGAGTTACCCTTTGAGTAATTCTGGTAGCTATAGCCACTAATCATTAGAAATCAAGTTCTTACTTAAATGCACTATTCTCGGCCGTATATATCTTAAAAATTTCTAAGAGGTATTCTGGTTAAGCTAGGAGTACTGATATCTTCTTGGAATGTGTGGAAACATGTAAAAGTGGTAAATGCAGTTACCAGGGAATATAACGTACAATTTGTGAAAAACTATCTTTGATCGATAAAACGGATAAATTTTTTGTTTTTATTGTTTTTTTTTTATCAAATTTTTGTTGTGTTAGATTAATATATATTTTTTTAATTAAGATGTTTAATGTTTGATTTTCATTAAGAAATTTGAGAAAACAGATGATTTATTACTGAATGTGACTGTTGTTCTTTAGCTATATGGACCAATATCTCATATTAATTTGTAAAAATAAACATAAACCTTGATACGAGTCTTAAAACTAAACAATTTTGATCAAAGGTGGCTAAAATTAATTACTGTGCATTGTGTCGCTATGATTATTCAACAAACACCAGCTTTTAAGATTGTAAGTTTTCAGAAATTTTTACACATTATTCTTGTAAGAAAAACCATGTAAATACATAAAAACATATTGACAAAACCTTGAAAATACAACGATAATGTTTTGTCTCTAAAATCTATATTATCAATGCTCTATTCTGCTATTCATAACGATCGAACATCGCCCGTATTTTAATCAATAACGAAATTGTGCTGATATGCAGATTCATAAGTTCGCTATCGTCCACACCCATGGCCACAAAAAGTGTATATACAAATAATATTCCTTTGCATTCTTTTGTGTTTTGTTATGTAAAATAAGAAATAAAAATGAATCATTATTGTACTGAAAATATCAAACGAAATTTTTTTGTTGTCCATAAAATTAAAATACTCTTTTATATAGCGTGATTGTTAGTAGATATTTAGTTTGTCTAGTTTTAACTTTTCTAAATATGAGTACATCGATTTTTCCAATTCTGTGTATTTTTTTTTTGTCAAAAGTAGATACTGCTTTTTATATTTGTGTCAATATTCTCAATATATATGGCTTATTCTTATCCAAATAGTACACTGAATGATAAACAACTAAACTGCTTTTTTTACTGAAAACATCACAGAGAGGATTTAAGGTCTGGTTTCTGGGTATTTTCTTGACTTTGACATATTTTACCAAGGAAAAATAGATATTTTGATATAATAGAAGAAAGTATTGAATCTATGTGGATATTTTTAAGGTAAAGGATACTGTGTTTACTTTGACAACTTTTTTTTTTTTGACAAATAATTTATTTAAAAAAAATACTTGCCTATGGAACCGTCATACACAAAGGAAACAATTTTCGAAAGATTTATTTATGTGAGAATCAAAAATTTAAAATTAGCGAATCGAACACTGTTGCTGCTGATAACATTTCTGTATAAATCGATAAAATCTTATTTGTAAGACATTATAGCACTATGTAAAACATCTATAGGGCCATTTCATAACAAAAAATAAATAATAAGATGATCTTTATATCTATTTATCAATGCTATCTTTCTACAACTGAGTAATTCTAAATGCACCTTTATGCATAATTTATAATATATTTTTGTTTAAATAATTGACAGTTAGGTACTTAATGAAAAAAAAAAAAATTAAATTTTGGCACTGTTTTTTCAATTTCTGCACCATCAAGTAATACATCTTAATATTTTGCAAATATATTTAAAAGAAAAGTTTTGTCACTTAAAAGAGTTTTAATGTCCCTAAATTGGGAATCATAATCTGTTATTATCATTGAAACCGCTATGGTTTCGGCATGCTAAACAATATACGATTGAATTGAAGGGGTATGTAACTTACGGTTGATCAGCTTCTGATTTTTTTTTTCTGTTTCTTATATTTACCCCTACTCTTATTGTTACAATTTTTCTCACTTGATGTTGATGAACGATAAAGGCGACTGATATCGTTTTCTCCTTTTTTGTACCATGTCGAGAAAAAAAATTGCACGAAACACCACAGCCCTTGTCTCTCAACACTCTTTTTTCTTTATCAACCACTTCTGATGTCGTCTGTGTCCCCTTGACACAGAAATAAAGCAATAATTGTAGTAAATAACGTCTATTACGGGTATAATCAAAACTAAATTACAAATTATTGTAGTTAACAGTTCGGTAGCTATATTCTATCTGTCGATGAGCATCGTAAGTAAAAACGGTCTGGCCGAAGTCACGTGTAATATATACCGGACGGACTGTCAGACTGCATATAGGTATATTTCTTCAAGTTTGAAGCACTTTTGCAATTTTTTTCTCAACATTATAAAAAAAAGTGCCATTTTGGTATAAATTAAGTAGTTCCGGACCTTGGAAATGGTTGCAAATTTAAACTTAGTGTTATTTAAACTAGCCAATTGTTATTGCAAAGTTTGAAAACTTTTGTAATTAATGTGAAATGTTCAAAATAGGATGTCTTTACTGACTGGCCTATTATTTTCTGACATGAAGCTTTGAGATTTCTTGTTCATCATTTTGTTGTCTTGGTCACATTTGAGTTTCGAATTATTTTCCTTCGTTTAAAAATGTTTGGCCAATAATTCGTTTTCTTTTCCTCTATAATATAATAATTTTCTTTTTATCCATCGGTAAGATTAAATCAGCATACAGATGTATAAATAACGCTGAAACTAAGCTGTGAAATAATAATCGCGATTCGCAATTGACCCAATATATAGAGGACTCGTGAAGGAGTAGTGTAATGGAGTTGCGCGATAGCCCATCCTCATGCATTTTACACAGGCGCCAAAAGAAAAACAAAATTAAATAAAATGTAAACACTTTTAACTGTAGGTGCACTATCTTGGATATATTTTGTAAGGTAAATATTTCACTATTGTAATTGTACAATCTGTAGAAATCGTTTGTACTTTCATTTTAGTCCGCCTATATTTTGAGGTTAGAATATCGAACTTCCAAAAGTTAGGAACTTCCAAAACGTGTGAACATAAGTCAATTTAAAATATTCAAATAGGTACGTATATTATTTCATTACTATTATTTTATTTCTTTCAAAAGGCCTGACTTTGTTTTCCTAGTATAATGTTATTTCTATAGAAATCAGTTGTAGATAACTACCTACACTATTTCAGCACAGTGATAAACAAAATGTAATACAAAGTTATGAAATCACTTTGACAGGTGATGTAATATGTAAAAACAAGATCTATTAAGGAAGCTGCATTCCCCAAATAATACATTTTTCCACAATAATTTCTAAAAAGGTTTACAAAATAAAAACAATCTTTACAGCTATTTTACTACATCACATCTAGTTAATAAATAACAAGTATTAATTTATTGGTTTATTTCCAATTTTTTAAATAGAAATATAAATATACAAATCAAAACATTTTTACTACTTTTATATAATATCCTAAGTATCAATAAGAAGTTTTAGAAAGATGATATGATTCATAACAAATAGTTTGTAGCTATACCATCACATCTAATTCTGGTAATTAAGTTTTAGTAACAGTAACCTCTAGGAATGAGCTGTAAAATTATTGTGGATTCTTTCAATGATCCAACGTACCTCCATGGAAGTGTGATATGTTATATTCCCAAAACCATAAAAATAAGAGGTACGTAATTAGGTAATTATTATAGTAGGTATATTAAAAAAAGTTTCCTATATGTAGAATCCAAGATAGGTATATCCTTTAATGGGGTTGGATAAGGGTTTTATGAGAAATTATGTTGGGTTAGTGAAGACCTTCAACAACAATGACTGGCAAATTTTTTGAAATACAAATTAATATAGTTGATAAAGAGGCTTTAAAGAATTAGATTTATAAATGATAGGTGGTTTTTAAATAAATTTATTTTTATTTTAGAAGTCAGATGTATATTGAAAGGTAAAGAATACACCAGCTTTCAGCAAGGTGAATATGCTTTTTATGGAAAAAATATATTTCTATTAAGAGAAGTCGTTTTATACAATAGAGGTAAATATTGATTATTTGTTTTTATTAAAATTATCTTAACATTTTTAAACCGGCTCAACTCCCTTCCATTTGAATTTTCTTCCTCATTTATTTTTGAATCACATTTAATACTAATAGACCAGGACCGATAATTTTTGAAACAAAAAAAATAATAGTAGTATGAAACCCATTGGAAAAGGAAGAAAATATAACAAAAATGAATGGAAAAATAATTTACAGGCGATCTGAGGTGGGGAAGTGAAAGGGGGTGAGTTTTTAAGGGTAAAAACAATTTATCTCGATTTTCGGTAAAACTACAGGTCCTATGGAAAAAAGTTAAATAGCAAAGATCTACCACTATTTTATTTACACTTTTTTCACATAACCTCAAAATGTCTGTGAAAAATTCAAATAACCAAGTTTTTGGTTTTTTATTTTTCTTTTACAAAAAAAAATTTTTTTCATAAAATTTGGTGAGACCTTACCTTTTTATGTCCCAAACACACTGTAATTTTTTTGATTTAAAGTATTTATTTTTTCACCTTATTTTGATTTAATATCGAAAAAACACCCTAATTTTCAATCGAAAATTCTCCCGTCAAAATATCTGCTTTTTAAAAAAGTTGGTGAGCTTTTTGTTCGTTGAAATATCTACTTTCTGATGGTGTAAAAAAATATATACATTACTATGGTAAATATTCTCAGAAAATGCAAAAAAACGAAAAAAACTCGAATTAGAATTTTTTTTAAATAATATGTACAATTCTGAGCTGTTTATTAAAATTTACACTTTAATTACTCAACGTAAGATTTAATGTTACATTGATAAACAAAAAAATTACAAATCGAAATTTACATTCTATAATTAAATTATATGCTGGAACAACGTTGTAAGCGCCAAATACTGTTTTTTTGAAAAATCAAAATAAACGTTTTATTACTAATTGCTTAGACATTTAAAGTGTTTGTAAACCTAATATGATTGACTTTGGGTTGCATAATTGTTACTTTAGGTATTATTTCCTTAAATGTATAAAGGACGGGGTTTTATGAACTTAGTTGCTATATTTTAATAAAACAACGTTGTATATCCACACGTCAGTTACAACCACTGATCTGTATTATTTTTCTGGAAAAAACGTTCCGAAAAATTGGCCGATTTGGACAAATAATATGGCGAAGCGGATGCTGTTTAACATAACCTCTATTTCCATTTGTCTTCACATTTGCCATTTAATTGTGTCAACAAGTTTAGAAGAGATGTGTTTTTATTGTAGAAAACAAAGTGAAAAAAGTATCCGTACTCTTCATAGGTAAATAAAACTATTATATTTATAATAATTTGTTAATAGATCTAACTATTTTGTCGAAACAAACTGAAACAATTACTATTTTCAATTAAATGAAAAAAAACTGAAGTGAATTATAACGATTATTACTAAATTAAACAATGTTCTTGTTATTTAAGGTTTCCTACAGAATTGGTGCTTTTGGGGAATTGGCCGAAGATTAGGGATATGACCAATTTGAAAATTGTAAGTGCAGGAATGCGATTATGTTCAGATCATTTTGAGCTATCCTGCATTGATAAAACACAAGCAAAGACTCTGTTGGTAATGCATTTAAAAATATTACTTTTTATCTTTTTTACATTAATATAAATATTGCAAGAAATATAAATTTTTTTTTTCACCTTTTCCTATGTTTTCCTCTATTTTATTTAAAATATACACTAGTGGAAAAAATTAAGGGATCAAAAAAATCTCGATATTATGCGATTTTTCGAGTGGCTGTATCTTTGGTAAAAATGGTCGTACGTGAATAAAAAATCTGTTGTGTCCAACACATGACTTTCCTATCTAGTTATTATAGGCTTTTTCCGGTTATTTTGTACAACCTATTGCAGCATCTCTATAAATGTTTAGAGGATAAACTAAATATATACATTGTCCACATACATCTACCTCGAAACATTTTTCTATAGATATTCATTGAAAACCAAAATACTGAAAAATTAAAATTTTGCTCTTTTCCTCCAATTTTTCCATTAGGGTCCATTTTAGAAAAATAATGTATAAACAAAAATTATAGAGATCGATATCGCAAACAACTTTTAGCTCAACAATTTTCATAAAAATCAGAATTTTGCACATTTTGTCAAATTTCTCGAATACGGACCATTTCAGGAAATTTTGACAAAAAGCAAAAATTATAGATAATAATATAAGAAGTAACTTTTATTTGAACAATTTTCTTCTCCAAACATAAATAACAGATATATTCCATAAAATATAAAAATGGCCTTCCATAAAGTACCCCCCAGATGTTCCGACTTTGTCCAAAATCTAATCATTTCACGTCAGGCCGAAATAAACATTAAGTTTAAAATTTAATATTTTTTTCTTTAACCGTTTTTGAGTTTTCTTCAAAATTCGAAATTTACACATTTTCTCAAATATCTCGAATACGGTCCATTTTAGAGAAATTATGTATAGAATAAAAATTATAGAGAATTATATTACAAACAACTTTTATTTGAACAATTTTTATAAAAAAAATATTTTTTTTACATTTTGTCAAATTTCTCGTATACGGACCATTTTAGGAAAATTTTGTATGGAACTAAAATTATAGATAATTATATAAGAAGTAACTTTTATTTAAAGAATTTTCTTTTCAAAACGTAAATAACAGATATATTCCATAAAATATAAAAATGACCACCTATAAAGTACCCCCCCAGATGTTCCGACTCTGCCCAAAATCTAATCAGTTCATTAGACACTGGAATTAATCTTAAGTTTAAAATTTGGTGTTTTTCTGTGTATCGGTTCATGAGTTATGCGACATACAGACACACACACAGACACACACACACAGACATCATCGCGAAAATAGTCAAAACGGATTCAGGGGACCTCAAAACGTAAAAATCCGTCGAAAACTCGAGGTCGAAAAAAATCATGATTCCTATACTTTCCTTATATCTGTATACAGATAGGAAAGTAAAAAACGCAGTTTGAAGCTTGAAGTGTCTAGTTTATGTATCTTGCAATAAAAAAATTAGCACAAAATCCTGATGAATATAATGGATAGAAAAACGCTATCCTTCAATTTCTTCAAAAATTCACTCGCATGAGACAATGAAACGGATTGATGGATCAGGTTGAAATTTTGTAGGGCTTTCGGGGGAACAATGGCCTGTAAGATGCTCAACATTATTCACTTTTTCAATACTTTCAATGTGGCACGTGATTTTTTAAAAAATCTCAAAAGGCCTGTTTTCCGAAATTCTTCAAAGTCATGCTAGGGATGAAAAAAAAAATTCCTCGTTAAAGAACATGCCAGAACCTTGTAGACAATAAATCAAAGTTTTCGAAACCCCCCTTCCATTTTCTAAGCTGCCATTGGTTCCTGAGATATTGACGAGAGAAGAGGAAATGACGCATTTTCGTTAATTTTCTGATAACTCAGCAAGGAAGGGTCATCTCGAGGCCACCAAAAAAGTCATTGAATCTAACTGAACCACCTATCCAATGCATATAGTGGTTATGTCGAGAACATTTTTTTCAAGTCCGTACACTAAGCAAAATTAAAAAACAAAAAATTTTCAAAAATTTTCTATCCCTGATATTTATCAGGATTTTGTGCTAATTGTTAGTTGGAAAAATTTTTATCCCAAGATCCATTCACGTACGACCATTTTTACCAAAGATACAGCCACTCGAAAAATCGCTAAAAATCGATATTTTTTTTGATCCCTTAATTTTTTCCACTAGTATATATAAATAAATATTTGCATAGTTGTAAAAATTATGTAAAGCCTTTAAATTTCTTCTTTATTTAATTGAAAATTACATTCGAATAGTCTACACAAAATTTAAGTCATAACAGTATTTTCCTAGAATAATTTTTGAATACATATATTTATGAGTTGTACAAATTTTAATGTGGTTTGTATAGTGTAAAAATGGTTAGAGAAACAACAAAAATACCATGTTATTAACCTGGAAGAGTTAGAAATGTTAATTAAAATTTTTAACAGTGCTAATAATCGGTAAATTTTGTCAAATTTCCTAGACAGGTGTAGGTAATTTAAAATATATTTCAACATCTAACATTAACTTTGCAATTATAAACTACCTACCTACATTATCTTGCAAAATTCTGAATATAAATCATGTTCCTGAAAACACCACTAGATCAGTTCCAATTCAAATCGCTTTAGTTGCATGTATCCATATTGTTCTCTCTGTTAAACATTTTCACAGGTATGGTTTAGATCTTCTACATCTTTTAACTATGTTAATATCCCTATTCTTCCTGGTTCTATTGTAACAATGGCAAACTCACCGATTCTCATTTCATACTTGTTCCCTAAAGTGACTCGACCATCTATGTAGTTCTAGCTCGAGGCTGTTATTTCTATTACCAATATCTCATTTTAGTTGTAGTCCTTATAAGTTATAAAAAATCCCTAGGGCGGTTTTAAGAAATTTCCTTTCCACTATAGGTACTTTAGAACTGATTCTTTATCTGCTATTTATGTAGGTAGAATCGTATAGCATTATATATATATTTTTTTTTTCATAAAAAATCAAATTATGGGTGAATTGTCCCGAAGGACATCGCCCGCAAAAAGAATAGAAGAAGAATAAGAAAAACTGATCAAAGTATAGGCTTGGTATGTCAAATTTTCCCACCATAATTTGCCCAAATTGGCCAGCAGTCTTGCACTCCCAGTCTCCTTGGTGGAACGGATTTTTAGTATCTCAAATATAGCCTATATCCTATCCAGTAAAATAATACAGATCAGTGGTTACAACGTTGTTTTATGTTTAAAAATAAAGCACAAGTGACAGTAAAAAACGTGTTTATTAACTTAAATTTAAAACATCATTGAGTTGAGTAGGTAAATAAAAGTTGTAATTATTATACTCCTAAGATTTTCATAAAAATGTACATATTTTAATTGAATACATTCACACATATCTAATAATACAGGCACATACAACGTTGTTACACCGGAGTAAGTGAAGTAATTTTATTACTACTCTAAAATACGAATGGAAGCCCCGTTAGTCCGATGAGTATAAACTTTTCAAATAACAAAAATTCCGACAAAGCTAAATTTTCGTAGAGACCTTGGGTACACCAGTAGAAATAAAGCACCAAAAGCCCCCATTGATCCCAAGTGCTAAAAAAAGTTATTTAAGGTCAACGTCAAAATTTTCGGTTTAGATTTTTCTCGAAAACGGTAAGTTTTATCAAAATATAGCCCAGACAAAAATTGCAGATCACAAAATTATCTACAAAAATTATACTTTTTTTCCTAAGATATCGGCATTCTAAGAGTTGAAGAAGTTACATTCTACATGATTATATTAGGGGTTTCACCTTGGAATGAGAGATAATAAGCTGGAAAATCGTATACACCTTCATTTGGGCATTCTAAAAGTTGTCTCAAAAGTCTCATAAAATCTCGTTATTCAAGGTCAAAGGTCACAAAAATCAGTTTTCCGCGATTATCTAGGTTTCTATAACTTCAATGATATTAACAGTTAATATGTTATAAAAATTTTCCGACAAATTTTGTTTTAAAGATTTTTTTTATGCGATCAATCTTTTCTGAGATAGAGGTGGAAATAAAATAAAAACTAATTTTTCGAATACATAGGCTCGATAATTCCAAAGGACCTTTTAATTACCTTAATAATAATGTAATTAGATTAGATATTTACTAATAATCGATAAGTTAATAAGAATATAATGTTTGATTAAAAATTAATTAAATTATATCAATTAATCTAATAATTGAATAGTAATTATTTGAAAATAACTGATTAATGGAAATAATCGATCTCTCGATTGGTCTAAAACAACCGTGTGAACGAAAATAATCGTTTATACCTCGAATATAATTGATCTATTGTATAATCGAATATTTTATATGAACGATTATTTTTTTGGTAATTGTCTAGCACTATAAAACACCATCATTTAATAATTGTTTACCTTCTTGGACATTTCTGATGGCTGGAGTCGCTTCTAAATAGTTAGATATGAGAATTATTAATAACGGTCCCGAATTCGTTGGTGGAAGTTGCCTGACCAGGGTATAATATTATGTACCTCTACAGTTTGGAGCGAAGGATGAAATACCTGATTTAACCTTAGATTTACCAATTCTGTATATTACCTTACTTACCAAAAAGATAAGTGAAATTAATCAATAAATTGTTTTAAATTTAATTTTTTTTGCAAACTTATGTGAATTAGAATTTGATAACTACCTTATCTCAAGCATGGTTTAAGTATAATTTGTTAGTGGTTAGTGATTTTTTTATATGTTATCACTAATCTAAGCTTTAAATATAGTGATGCCCAACTTCTTTTTCAAAGTTATTCGAGTTATTTAAAAACCTAACCCACGCCCTATAAATTGAGCTCAAACACATATAACAAAGTAGATAAAATAACCAGATATTCACGTTACAAACCATAGCAGTTAATATCGATGACACAGAATAAAAAAATTAAAAGCAATTTCCAAACAATATAAATAATCACAATACACCATATGAAACACCACTTTAGCAACGATTACAGTTACGAAGATTACCTTCTTCGGGCGAAATCAGCTGATCGACAGCGCGCGGGAAATCTTAATTTGAATCACATATAGTTTTCACTTTAGGATGAACCAGATTAAATTTTTTGGAAGTCTAATATGCATCCGTATCTTTCTTATATTTATCAGTAGAGAATAAAATACGATGATTTAAAAATTTTAACCTACTATTTTTTATAAAAACATACTCTGGAAACTTTGTACATATTTGCATTCATAAATATGTGTAATAAAGATTTTAAATACTTATTTCACGTATATATTATTACTGAATTTTCTATTTTAATTATAAAAAAACAATTATTGTAAGACTTAAATTAATACGTTTTTCATTTAAACAGGCTTATAAATTTTATATTAATAAAACACTTAATGGTAAACAATACCTATGAAAGGCATGTGGGTGGCTCAGTGGTAGTCTCTGCCTGCGGATCCAAGGGTCCCAGGTTCGAATCCCACCGTTGGCCGGGTTTTTTTCATTTAATTGAATTATTTAAAATTAATTCTGATGCCTTGGTAGGATTCTCCACTCGACCATTCACTGCTGGGTTCTAATTAACAGTGCTGTTCCTAAAGTAGCGCTGGGAAACATTACCAAAGCTTACACATAACACGAAGCTAATAACCGTAGAGTAGTTGATGCCGATGACAACAAATAAAAAAAATACCTATAGAGGCAATTAATTTTTTATCCGAAACTGCTTGTGTCCAAAAGATACGCCGATCGATTCCAATTTTATGTATCGAAAATACTTATAAATCACTTATTCTCAGATTGCTTTATTAATGGTGTGAGATCAGGGAGATGTGGGAGAAATGGTGTCTCTATCCCCAAAATTAGAGAACACATTATAAACTTTTGACAAGTAACAAAGACAGCTAAATGATTTTTTTTATGTTGAACACTAAATCGGTTTAAACAAAATTTTAATTACTAGATCCAGATTTTTATAAATTTTTTTTTAGATACAATTGAAGCTGGCACATACCGATTTCCATTTGAATTCCGATTACCTCCAGATCTACCAAATTCTCTTCAAATGAAACATGGATGCATAAAATATACTCTTAAAGCATATGTAGATATACCACTTAGTTTTGACTACATAGAAAAAATTGGAGTATTGTTTTCCCATCCGGTTGATTTAAATGTTCAACATGGGATATTATTGGTTAGTACTTTGAATTAAATAATCAGTAGGTACCTGAAATGAGTGTAAGATGATCAAATAATTAGATGTAGGTACAAAGTGCTCAGCGCCATTTAAATTTTTCAATATTAAACCGTAATATTAGTTATTTGTGGAGTTTTTAAATAGTGTCCTCTTGTTAGTGTAAAGGTAATAATAATATGGAAGATTAAACAATAAAAGCACATCGTTCTCAAATTAATAATTTATTTTAGTTTGAGGAAGAAAAACTTATTTGCCATAGTATTTTTTTGTCAGATATAATCTAATGAATACAACTCTTTGAATAGACATTATAGATAATCGCATGATTTAATTATGCCTTATATTATCACTAGTTGTGAAAGATACTTATAGACAGTGGCGTAACTAGCCATCTGACCTGGCGATGCCTAGGGCTGATCTGTTATTGGAATTCGAATCTTTAAAAAAATTTAGAAAATGGTGACTATTTGGCAACGAGCGACAAGTGACGCGAGACCGAGACAGAAATAAGGCGGCAAACATTGCCTTACTAAATCTGATGTCGTCGGTCGCTTCTACCGAAATGTGTTCGAACGTGAAGAGACCGTTTAGTAGACATGGGTAACGCAGTAAAATTCTTTGCGTTGATACACTAACTCCGGCGCACTCTATTGCGCCAACTCATTGCGTTAACGCAATTGCGTTATTGCGTCACACCACTGCCTGCGCCGAATGCAGTCGACGCACCTCGGTGTATCGCATGATACCGGTGTTATTCAGCGCGGGCTGTCTTGTCAGTACGTGTTCAAGGCAATAACGCAATTGGGAATTTAACTAATTTTTTTTATTATATGTTTAAAAATAAACGAAAATATAACAGTGTAAAGCAACCATTTTTTTATTTCATTGTGTTCGGATTTTACAGAGAATACAAAAATTTCAATTTATATAAAAAGGATATAACTTTTGTATACTAGTAGCCAATCAAAATGGGAAGAACTAAAAACTGACAGTGTACACAAGGTTGAAATCCATAAAATTCGACCTACAATCCTACAAATTATGTGACATGTTGTAAAGAACATAATTACTTGATACATTTTGGGTAATATGCATTACGAGTTGCATCAATTACGTAAATTAAAATTCTCAATTCGTCACGGAAAACGGAATCAATGCCTGGCGCATGGCCCATCAACAACTCGCGATCAGGGTTGCCAATCGTACGGTAATTACCGTACTTGTACGGTAATTTCAATTAATGTACGATATATGGTCCAAAGTCATTACCGTACATAAAAGTACGGTATTTACATAAAAAGTACGGTATTTACATAAAAAGTACGGTATACGTACGGTATTTTCAACAGAATTAGCAAAGACTGAGTTGTGCAAGAAGGACCGACTCCATTAAATTACCTAATAAAGATAAGAATGACATTGTCCAATGTAAAAATGCAGCAGATGTTCTTAAAAACTTCAAAAGGACCTAGTCTGTACAAAAATACAAAAATATAAGCTAATATAAGGCCTTTTTTTAGAAGCTAGGTAAAAGGACCAGACGATGATTAAAATAATATGATGAGGCCCTTTTTTTTTTTTTTTTTTTTTTTTGTTAGAAACACGACACGAAGAGTTACACAATATAGTTTTTTTTACAAAATAAAAGTGTACGGTACTGGCAGGCCATGTACGGTAATTTGAATTGCGCGGTACGGTAAATGGAATTTGAAAAGTTGGCAACCCTGCTCGCGATCCTTTCGACTCAGTATCGAAAATTGCGTTGCGCTGATACAGTAACAGATGGTGTATCAACGCTCGTAACGCATACAGCTGCGTTAACGCAATAACGCAACGCAGCGCTGCGTTACCCATGTCTACCGTTTAGTGTCTCTCTTGCTGTCGCGGCGCGTTTTGAAGTCGGTCTCTGCCTCGGTTTGCAAAATGTTAGCTGAAAGGTACCATTTCGATAGGCGCGTAAGGAGACAGGAGACCACCGAGACGACCCCAAGGACGACAGATGCATAAATGTTTACGCTCCGTATATTTGGGAAGCTTAGAGACAGGTGGCGCGACACCCCCAGATAATCATTCGAAGGAACGATCAGCGTTGACCTACTGTTTTTACGTAGACCCACTCTGTTTTTGTCTCTAGCAAATTTTGTTTACTAATTTATTAAGTTTGCCTCATTCTTCAGCAAATGATTGAAGAATATTTTCTCTAGTAAATTTTCTGCAGTAAAAGCAGCGTAATAAGCATCCACTACTGTAGATTGGCTCGATAAAAAAAAAACATCAAGATAATCATTATGTTTTATTTAAAATGAAACAAAGAATTAATAGGGCATCATAAAAAGAACATGCATATGCCAAACACTACGATTTTGAATTATCTGATTTAGACTGATCTAAAAGAAGTAGGTACCAGTTTTAATTTTCTTTATAGAAAATTATTTTTTAAAAAATTAAGAACTACTTTTAATATGTCTTTATTGATCAAAGTCAAGCTAAAGAATAATGTATATATTTACATTTAATCCACACCTATGTTTATCTCTAGGAAAATTTATAAAAGTATGATAAGATAAAAGTTATTTACAGGAAGTATTTATTGTCTATATAGCAGTTTTAGCAACACGTAACTCCTCCCTCCTTAAGTTTCGAAAAGAATGGAATGACTTTTCGAATGGGCTTCCATCGGAATTTCTTCTGTTTTTTCAATTTTCTTTTTTCTGCATTTCGGAATTTTGTTCTTGAATTTTAATATAGCTACGACGATTAGGCTGGTAATTAAAAGTCCCAAAATTGTTCCAAATATAGGTGTATCCATTTGAGTATTTGAGCTTTCTTGAATCGGTTTTAGTTTTCTGGAGATTTCGTTGATTTCATACAGACTATCAAAATCAATTTTGGTAATATTAGATCTTTGATAATGTCCGGATGTGCGTATGTGATCCGTTTGAAATTTTAGCAAAATGAATGGTTTTCCTTGAGTAAGTTGAATGTCGTTAATGTACTTCTGTTCGTTGGCCCATATTTCGCAGGTTTTCGGGATTTTGATTAAAATCGGGTTCACTACTTCTAGATATCGATTACTTTTACATTTTGATAGAATTTGTTGCGCGTTGGCTGGTATTATCAAGACTTCGTCTGTGGTAACTTGTTGAACGATTATTTCTTGAACATTAACTTCTAAGATATGGCAATTTTGAGGGATATGACCTTCCAGTAAATTGAGGGTGCAGTTGTCCCTGGGAATAAAATTTTGTTGACAGTAGTAACAATTTTCTAGTGCTGGGCATTCTTCTTTTTCGAATTGAGTTTCCTTTTGTTCTCGTGCCAAATAGGGGAAAGTGGGAGTATATATTTTGTGATTTTGAATTATTGGATACAAATGATAAAATTCAAAAGTTTCGGGTTTAAAGATAGGAATATGAACTGCAAAAATTAATTTTGAATCGGATATTGATACTTGAGTTCCTAGAAATTGGTAATAAGTTAAAATATTTTTGAATTTAGGAATTTGATTTTCATCGTATATTCCATGTAAGTGATTTATCATATCTATTATTTCTGAACTAGAAACTATGGAGCTATGCAAGGAGTTAAGTTTAGAGAATACAATAGCGTTTTCTAAATTATCGATAAATGTTATAGTTGCTTCACAATCTAGATTAAGCTCGGATAGAACACCTTGAAAGCTTAAATAACTTTCGAGAGTTTCTATTTTATTGTAAACTGATGCTGAAAATTTTTCCAAATCATTATTAAACTTTTCTTGATTTTTACTCAAAATAGTAATTGATTTATTGTAATGATCTATAAGTTTTTTATAGAGTGAAATTTGTAAGTTAGTTTCGTCAATTAGGTTTTTCTGATTCTTTTGTAATAAACTGATAGCTTGGTTATATTTGTTTTCATCGTCCGAATCTAGATTTCCAAAGAGCCATTTATTCAATTTTCCAATGCCATTAATTAGGCCTCTTTTATTACGGATATGTGGATTTAAATTATTAAATTTTTTCTGAATAATATTAATTAAATATTCCGTTCTTGTTAGCATGCTTTGAGATAACCCATGATATGATACGGGGTTTGTAACATTTACTTGCGTTATACTACCTAATACTATTCTAAAATGTTGAACTAAACTATCTATTTGTTTAACAAGGGTACTTAAATCTACGTAGTGTAAAAAGGTATGTTTACTATAAACTAATCTAGCATTTCCTAATTGGATAGGAAGAAGCAGGTTTTCTAATTTAGTAATTTGTATATCTTTTCCATTACAGGTCATTTGATGTACCTGAAGGACCAGGTAGATCATCAAGATCTTCGTGTTCATCGGTATCCTGTAACAATTATTTTTTATTACTTTTCGGTTTTCGAGCAATACTTTTGTGATAAGTTCCTTTATTGGTTTTAATTAAGACATTTTTATTTTTGATTAATTTAGTAGCTTTAAATTTAGGGAGTTTTTTATCTCTTGATTTAGTTTTAACGTAAACTATTTTTTGTTTTGAATAGTCCGGCGGATCGGACCTTTTTGTGTTCAATTTATTTATTATTTTTTCTTTAGTTTTTTCGTTACGTTCTCTAATTTTTTCGTACAATTGTTTACTAGCTTCTTTGTGATTTTGAACATAGTGGGAAATTACTAAGTGGTACCTAGATGACCACAAATGCATCAGGGTTATTTGTGTGACCTTTAATGATTTAGAAGGTGTAAATTTGGTAACAGGACTGAATCAAATTTTTGTAACTTAAGACTGCATGTTTAATTATTAATATTATTATTATTATTTATTACTTTTTATTTTATCAAAATAAGAAGCGTAATTTAAATAAAAATATGTTTTTTTTTTGTTAGAGTAGTACTTAATTAATTTTAAATTTTGTTCCTTTTTTCTTAAAGATTGGAAAACATTTAAATTTTATTTTCTTCCTGTTACATTTATATTTTCCTGGTTTTTTCATTTTGGTTTTAATTTTATTATTTAGCAATGAAAGTTCTTTCT